TATGTACAAGCTAATATACTGGCACGGAAATTTGGTGCATGCTCCGTGGGAGTAAAACTGGCTTTGTTTAAAGCGTATTGTACTTCCTTGTACACTGCTCATCTGTGGTGTAATTATAAAAAGGGCAGTCTTCGGAAACTGTCAGTAGCTTACAATGACGCCCTAAGGATATTATTGAGAAAACCTAGATGGACGAGTGCAAGTGATTTGTTCGTGTCATCTCGAGTTAGTACATTTTCCGCTGTTTTAAGAAACCTGATGTTTAAATTTATTTGTCGCTTGAACTGTTCAAAAAATCATATCATTTTATTGTTGACTAATGTTTCACACAGTGACATGCGTTTTACTTCGGTTCTCTGGAAACACTGGTATACCTGTCTTTAAAGGGGCAGTAGTTTTATGGGTGTTCTTGTGCTCTTGTTTTTATGTATTTTCTGTTTTTATTGTTTCGTTTTTAAACTGTTCTTCTATTGCTTTTATTTGTTTTGAACCTGGACCTTGAGTCTGTAATAAAGTGTCATCATCAAATTAAATAATACGGTCTGAATGGTTCAAGCAATTCAAAAATAGCATGTCAGGTGGACATGTCTTCAATATTTTCCAGCACACTGCAAAACAAATGATAATGACAAAACAATCTAATTAATATTAAAAGCCGCTGCCCTAAATGTTTTGGTCAATTCAGACAGTTTTACAACTGAGAATTTAAAGCCCTACATTGGTAAAGTGGTCAGAGCAGTAATATCCCAGTATGACAAGGTGCATGCTTTCATGTTCTTATAAAGAACATAGCTTGGCTCCCCTCTGGTTTAGAAAGTGAAAGTGTGATATACCGTAAAATTCACTTTAATTTATTTTGCAGAGGTGACTACAAGTTATACCATGATGTTGCCAGCGAGCTTCAGTGCTAACTGGAAATGTCTAATGATCTCTATAGCAACGACGTTTCGGAAGCAAAGACTACGAGGTAACGCTAAAGCAATAAAACAGTAACGTTATTAGCAACAACTAGTGGCCGCATACAGAGAATGTGCAAACTTTCTAGCAATATAGTTGTACTCTACATTACGTGGCCAACTCAAGAAGTAATTCTAATCAGTGTTCATCGTCCTGACAAATAATAAGTTTAACCGTCATATCTGGGATTCTAAAAACCGCTAGCCAAGTTAGCCGGTGTTGATAACATGCATAGAAGAACGATTTTCCTACTCTCTAGGCACATGGTGTGTTACAACTAAATGAGGTCCAGAAACCGTCATCATTAACATTTTGTTTGTTCCATTTTCGCTGAGCTGCAGTGCAACGTTAAACTTGCTGCCAATACAACCGTCCATAAACTCAGTATCAAAGCTATTTGGTTAGCCGGTTAGCTTCATAAGCTAACTCATGTGCGCCAGAATCGTGCTACATCCCAACAGGCGCTGGCGCTGTTGGCGTCTGACACGGCCTGATGCAGCACAAAAATGCGCAATTGTACTTGATTTGGACACAATTTTGTGTCCAAGAAAAAAGTGATCATCGCATTTCTTCTAACGCCTAATAATACCAACTCTGGAATAGCAAACATGGGTGTGAAATATTGTGCAGGAATAAACTGTATCACAACCCATTAAAGAACAGGGACAAAGAACGCCAGAGCTAAAGGCGCACACTTGTGCATCACCACTAGCGAAAATGGCGCAAACAGAGGAGGGTAAAATATAATAATACACGATAAAATTAATACGTTATGCAACCCAGGTGTACTCCTACCTTTCTATATGGCTGCAGTGACTCTATTAATTAAGCGAAATGAGTTACCCGTGCTCAATTCCCGTTAAACCTTGTAAAGTTTCCCTCCTGAAAAAACCACCCGCTCCGACTCAAGCCGTGAGACACAAAAATAGCGGAGCCAAACTATCATCCGTCGTATACTTCCGCTTTTGCTTAAATACCATAGGAAGACCAGGCTGCGCATTTATCTTTTACAGGTTTGGGCTTCTGGATGTGTCGTTGTAACTCTCAAAGATTCAGCCGAAAGATTGAATCTTTTTAGTTGATTATTATCTTTCATTTCATTCGAGCAGCATAGCCCCTGCTACAAGCGCTCAGAATCCGACTTTGGGGTTGTTGGACTTCGTCATCTGTGGTCATGCGCTGTGCGACTGTCTGTGTTCTCAGTTCAAAAATTAAATAAGAAAAAGTCAAACACTGAAAATATACGAAACGCGTGTTATGGTAATTATGATTATCTGTTGTCCATTTGAAACGAGTCTATCTAGGCTTTATAACCAGGAAAGCAGACGATGCCCCATACAAGCAAGCGCAGAGGGATTTCTATTTTCTCAAATATGACATCTTTGGCTATAGTTCTCTAACCACTGCCTAATCAACTACTTTTGACAAATCAAACATTGCTGTTTATACAATTGTACAAATACACTGAAATTATACTGACGATGCTTTGGCTAAAATGATACATTTCTAACACTTTAAAGTCACGACTAAAAATCGGCATATTAACTCATCCTTTACGTTTAAAACAGGCATTTTTCCAGGCAACTATGTCATTGCAACGCGTTTTGAGAAACGACACAAGAGGTCGCTATTTATCAAAAAATGATTCGTCACGACTTGTCCGATGCCACTGTCTACAGGTGTGTGTACATTTCTGTGATGTAGCCTACATATCTGATATAACTTAGAATTATCTTAAAATTCTAATTTTGCGTTTAATGTCGCTTATAAAGACAACAGTAAATTAATATGAACCCTAACACGGGCAGAACAAAAATATGCCAACATAGGTATGAATTACAACATTTTTATTAAGTTTACCTTATGCAAGACCATACAGTTATCCCCTTAAACTTTGTATATTTTTGACATTGCATAAGATCATATATAAGTGACCCATGTAATGATATGAGAACCTAAGGTTCATTGATGTAATAGAGAAAAAATGACACATTCATTCTCTTTGATTACAGCTGTGATCATCTTCATCATGCATTACAGTGGTCTGTGGCTTATGACTTCTATACAAGACAAACTGGGCACTTAAAAGTATTAGGCTACACATTTGATAAGTGATAATGATTATCAATGCCAAATGCTCAACCTGACAACCTGTTTGTGAAGGGCATTAAAGGTAATACAGTGGCTAAAAGGAAGGGTTAAACACCTCTGATCAGAGTAAATAGGGTTATAAATGAACCAAGCACAAACACAATGTTATTTCAAAAAAAAAACAGAACTTGTTTCATCCTACTAAAAGTAAGAATGTTTGCCATTAGAGAGGGCGGAAAGCAAGACAGCCCACAATGCTGAATCATAGGCTGTCAAAAATGGATGGAGTATCTTATGTCTGTGTGAATGGAAGTTCATATGTGGGGTGCCACTGGCGCAGTCACACAAGGCAGACATATGTTAACGTGTGTGAGGGAGTGCAAGACAGTACGCAATTGAAAGGCTTCGAAATACTATAGCACATGTAAACATAGCCTAGCTCTGGCAGGAAATCCAGTCTACTTTGAAATGCTGCAAAAAAACATGCGTTTCCCCAACAATACAAAACTGTTTTAGTCAAGTGTATATGTGAGTAAATGGAGGTTTTTGTATCATCAGCAAGTATATATGTACAAGTGTGCCAGCATTAAGAAAAGCTTACTCATCCCTGACACTAAGATCAATGTGTACAATACACATAAGACATTGGATTTTGGTCATTGGGGAAAAAGGCAACACTAAATGAATGAAATATCCAACCCATTAAAAACCACACAACAAACCTGAAAACAACTTTCTATTTAAAAAAGTGTCATAAAATGCATATATTTACATTACAGGCTGTAAGCAATGCGCACAGTGTTTTCCACTGTAGTGCTTGTAATGCCGTGTATGAAATTAACACACTTCAAAATGCTTAGAAGACTATCACACTGCAGGAAAAAAAAATACATTTTGTTTTTGAACGTAACAGTCAACTTCGTAGCCAGCCAAGAATGGTTTTGTTATTGGTTCAAACATGTTCCAGGCATATTCTCAGTGAAAGACACCATATTCAGCATCAGCTATCAGAACCCTAACTTGGGAGATCTCTAGAATCCTGTACAAACAATGAAAAAGAGAAGTGAACATTGTCAAGATTCTCATTTTTAAAGATGCAGTATAAACAACTTTCATTTGAAGTCGTTTTCTATACAGTGTACAAAACGTGCAGTTTTAAGATTTAAATATTAATATTGAATTTGGATTATTTACATCAAAGTCCTTCACCAGTGCTTTCAAAACAGTTCCAGCCTACAAACCTCAAACAGCACAAATACATCTCCTCAAAACAAGATCTTAAAACAAGATGTTCCCTCAGACATACAAAGCAAACCAGTTAAGGAAAACTCAGAAGGCAGTGGGGGAAAAATAAAAAATAAAACATCTTAAAAAAAGTGCCACTGTCTCGGTGTTTTTCCTGGCAGTTAACAGTAACAGTTAAAGTTTCATTGTAAAACAGAATTCACACTTGATTTATTTTTTTTTTGGCAGTTAACTTTAGATTTATGAACATGAGGAGGTTTCATACCAAAGTAGTTTCAGAAAAAATGGACAAAATTAAACTTGGTATAAATTTGCACATTTAAAACATTTAGAGAGCAAAGCTTTAGTCCCTTATACTAAAAATACACATTTGCTGAAATCTTACTTTGAACCATTTTGAAGGCCCATTTGTGTGTGAAAGGTGTGTCCAATATTAAAGCTTTGTCCTTACAGTACAACTTATGGACTTATTGAAAACGTATTAGTTCCACAGCACACAACCACTCATGCGTGGGTAATTTGTAAAAGGCTAGCTGAACTCCTCATGATCACAAATCTTAGTGCAACTGCTCAAAATCTTTGGAAAAAACGTTTTTATCAATTTGTTTTTGGGGATGAATTTTACATTTAGTCTATCTCTATAACGTGCGCCAAATAAACGCACAGTTCCCTTTTTAAACACCTTGAGATCGATACTTTGTCGTGATAAAGACCATACCAGTCCCTCAGCAGACCCTTGAATCGGAGGATGTAAGAATGAACTCAACAGATGACCCTGAGTGATTGAGCCGGATCTGATGACGGCCTCATTTTATAGCATAAAACATTTGTAGATTACTATTTTCTTACCTTCAGAAGAAAAAAACACCACTGATTGAAAAAAGGTCCAGTTTAAATGTACAGGCACAAACTGTCAGTAAACAGACTTCTTTACATCAAAAAATAAAAGCATAAATGGAGGGAAAACAAAATAAATGCCCCCCCTCCCCTGTTTTAAATATCCACTGCACCCAACATTCTTCCACAAAGATGATATGTTTGCATCCTAACACCTGGAGCTCATAATACTGAGTCCTCTTCACATCCGAGAACCCCGTTCCTGAAGAATCTGCAAAGACAAAAACCAAACAAAGAAAAAAAAAAACACAATGTATGACTTGCTTTGAAAATCATGCAGCAATGACACTGTACAGTCTCCAGCATTTCACTAGTCACAGTCACTTTATTAGAATTTTTCTTTTCCACTGAAGCACCAATTCCTGCCATAGTGCAAAATCTCTCCTGGCCAGAAGCAGGAGGACATTTACTCTCCATGTAGGAGGAATCAAACACACTGAACAGGGTGAAGGAGGAGTGAGGAAAACAATGCGTTGTGCTAGAAAATATGCAGGGAGGTGGTTACAGAGCAAGATTGTGGGTGAACTCAAAAAGCAGGGAGCCTTGTCAGGTGGGATCAACCTTGGTACTGGAAAGATGTTGCCGACGTTCACCACAATCAATCTAAACTCCCAAAGAGATACATCCATTAGCTATACCCGCAGCATCAGTGCTGCAAATGCTAAACTACAACTACAATTGACAACAAAATGAAAACAGGGTATAATACCACTCGTTTCCCTTTACAAGGTGCTTTAGTGAGGGACAACAAGTCAAACTACAGCAGCTCAAGATTCAGCATGTCCTCCATTAACCACGGCTGTGAATATGACAATCACAAGGGTCTTATTTACACTACTGAAGAAAATAGAGCTCTTCTCATTTGGTTCCAAAGAGAGCAAGCTTCATTTGCAAAATCAGCCTTCGACCAGTCATCAGCGGGACCCATCTGGCTTTTGATCTAGCTTTGCCTTGTGGACTCAGCAGGCCAAAGCTGATTTTCAACTGGCACTGGTTTAAGTAGCTTAGGTTTCCAGTAGTGTAAAATGCATCAAGAGGGAAAAAAGGACAAACTAGGGAGGTGGAGAGGAGGCACTATGAGCAGTGAGTCACAAGTGCTCAAGCCTAATCAGTCATTCATTTCATAATCAGTCTTTTCATCCTCACTCTGAGCAGAATGCAGACAGCACAGAAGATGACAAAAAAGGGCAAGTCGTAAAACAATGAGGCCTAAAATACTGGAAAGGAAAAAAAACAACCTCTGAAGGGATTCACATTAACAACTAACTACATTTAGGGTCTATGCAAAAATACAAAACAGGTACAGATGTCATCCATGGACCTTTCACAAATGTCTGTACACTGGGCTTTTTATTCACAAATAACAGATGCTTATTATAAAAAGGACTGAGAATTTTAGTTTTTCTTTGTGTAGTAATGTACAGGAATCAATTAAGTTCAATGAGCCAATCTGGGTGTTGTGCCCCTGGAAACAGCAACAACTCGCTCTATATCTGCTAGAAAGACACTGGCAGTGGTTAAATTTCCCGCTAGAAACAAACAGTGCCATGAATGTAGGTCTAATGACGTGTTTCTTCATGTGCCTGCCTCCTGTTTCCCTCCTAAAGCCCTTGTGGAATTGACAGCCCTTGTACCACTCATCAGCAGACCTGCGCTCTCTAAATGCCCCCGGCGTAGATTTTACTGAGTAGACCTTTTCATTTCAGGTCGAATTTAGCAGATCTAAATGCTGGACTCATTCTAACTCCAAAGAGGAAAGCATTGCTTGGCTTTGAAATAGCCAAAACTGTCTGCTTTGATTTATAATCTTATTCTTTTCCTCTCCATCACCTGTGGTTATGCAGACATTCTAGTTTTTAAACTGTAACACTGAATATTCACAGGTTTCTCCTTCATAGAGGTTTGTCATCAATAAACGATGTGCCCTCAGTCTTGTCGTGGGATGCTCCTAAATGCACTGCAATTAATACATCCGGCACAGGCCATCTTTCACAGATGTTTGCTATTGATGGGTTTGCACCCGGCCTGTCCACACTCTTACACACACTCACCTTAGCCTTCTCACTAGGCTCACTGTTCGTCCCGTATGATTGATTGTGCAGCTCCTTGGAGACTACACACAGGAACTCGGCTTGGTCTTCGTTTCCATAATTGTAAGAGGAGCCTATGCCGACCAGCTGGAGAGACATGAGAGCAGAGCACAGAGGAAGAATTAGCCTTAGACTGATGAGTAGAGACAACACCGGGTTATCAAGGTGGTAAAACAGAAGCAGGGAGACATTAAAATAATGTTGAAGAGGTTGACAACCAAACAAGGACAGTCTACAAGTTCTTTCAACTTAAATGCAAGGTTGCTTAATATATTATTAAATGGTATTTTGGACAATTAGACAAAGACCAAAACAGCTCACGTAGACCAATCCAATTAAATAAATCTAAATTTGTTTTTCTAATTAACCTGCATTTTTCTTTTAGTAGATAAAATATGATGCAGAACAACATAAAATGTGAGTTGGAGTGGGGATGATTTGATAGACCCTCGGTCAGATTTATACCGAGGACGTCAAAGTTATACAATTACATGGTACACTGAGAATATTAGACCAACAGGGAACCCCACTCAAACTATTTAAACCAGACAGGAGACATGAGGAGACATGTTAGAGGCTTAGAGTTCAGGGCTACATTAAAATGTTTTGAGAATTTGTCAGTACATTTACCAAATAAAATGCAACTAAAACTGTATTTTCAGGACCTGCAGACATGCAAAACATTAGACATGCAGATCAAAGGGCAAACAAAGTGACCGATCAAAGTAATTAAAATAAAATAGGTTTCAAAACTAGTCAAAATAAAGGAAATAGTACAAAGATGCCACAGAAGACAAAAAGATGATCAGCAAATAAGTGCAGGGACTCAACAGGATACAGGAGGCAAACATGCTGGTCAAAAATAAATAGAAATCAATGGGAAATGGGTGGATTTGCCTTGGTAGGATGAGACTTGTTAAACTGAAGCTTGAACACTACAGTGTCTTCTACAAAGCAGACAGACGAACAAACTACAAAGTAGTTTGCTCCCGTCCATCGATTCCGTTCCACTTTTTAGCTCTGTGACATGACATTCGACTGCTCGTATTACCTTGTGAAGGATTTTCTCCACTGATTCCATGATAAATCATTTGGGATTAATCATATGAACACAGCATTCACTGAGTTCCATTCTTTAATAGATCTCGTGTGTGCCTGCTATTGCTTTAGTTACTGATCTAGCAGAAAAGTTTACTAAAGATGTTACAAGGAACTGGGAGAAACCAAAATTCAGCCAAGTGGAAGAACTCAGTGAAGCTGCTTTTTCCTCCAAACATCAGATTATGACAAACAAGAAAAGGACTGGTGTGAGAAAATCCTACAAATGGCACCTTCAAAATACATCTGAAAAATAATCACGGTAACTTTACTCCATTTCCAGTCACATCAGTCTAATAAAAAAAAGGACGATCTCTTTATGGACAAACTTCATCCACACCTTGAAAACATGAGGGAGGAAAAAAGGAATTCCTGCTCTTGAAGAACTGAAGAAGTGTGTGCACACTGCCAGTTACATGTATCCCGCCTGTACAAGTTCAGACACGTACTGCCTCATTAGCTGGAGACTTGTTGTTAAGGGATCTCTCTTAAATAAGGCATCAACACAGCAATAGATGATGAAATAATCTCAACTGGCTACCATGGATTCCACCTGTCGCACTGTTAAAACAATGAACATGTACACCACAGCATAAAATTCACCTAAACAACAAACCGCCTATATTACAGTGTCTCAAAGACAGCTGCAGGTCATTAAAGCTCATCTTCCCAAAAGACTTTCCTGGGCTGGTGACCGAGCTTTAGGCTTTCATAAGGAGTGTTTTCCCATCTGACCTGTGTAAGAAGATTAGTGAGATTTGAGCTCTGATGGGAGATCCAGTGATCCCTCCAAATACACACCTCCAACGCTCAAATGTGGTTTTCGCATTTGAAAAATTAGCCTTTGGCAGTTTCAGCCGAACACAAGTCGGCATGTAAACTTGACAGTACTGAAACTATTCACTCTTAATAAAGGGATCTCTTTCCCCAAAACAGCCAAGTAGCTACATCAAACTGTGAATGCCATATGAATTTTAAAAAAGATAAAATTAAAGCACAGACAAGAAAAACGGTGTTATGATCTCTTAGCCTGAGTGGTGAGCAAGCAGTACAAATGAACACTGAAAAGAGTCAACTCAAAAAATGATCAACGGCTACGGGTACATCCCAATTCCCATATTTGATCATTCCTCGATCCTCGCTCGACCCGGAAGTTGTTCAGGTCTGCCATCTTGAAAGACATCCCAAATCTCTTATTCCTGCTCTGAGGAGCGATGGGCCCGATGACCGAGGATTGAGGACAAGCTGCCCCTTTATCAGAAATCAGTGGGCGACACTTCAGATGAAGGATCAGACAAAATAGGTCTCATGTCTCTAAAAACATGTTTCCTCGGTTCCTTTCTCCTTGCATCTTATGTGAAAGGGACTAAGACACAACTAAAAGGCAAACACGAGGGAAATGTGGATGCGGTTAAAGGAATTGGGATGGACCAACATCTACACTTGGGACAAACAATGGCCAACGGGGTGTGTATAGACAGTACGAGGACCATGCAGTGACCAGCCCGTGGACAGAAAATTGTGGGACACACCTCTCCGCTGTTGTTTGGCAAAGCAGACTCCTCTCCCTTCACCTCCCTTGACACAATCAGCAGAAACTCTGACTGGTGGGCCCGCCCGTAACCTATACTGACAAGCTGCAACAACCAATCAGAGCACAGAAGGGATGCCCGGATCACGTATGGGGACATTGACAAAGATGTGATTTGCTGTTTGGCTTTTTAGCCGTTTCCAGTATTGAGGATTGGACTTTCTGGGTCAGTGTGAGCACAGCGAGGTGGGTGAAGCACATGACAGGGGGACTGCTGTGGTGACCTTGCAGGAAGAGCTTTACCTGCTCAAACTTCCAGCCGTCAGACATGGTGGACACCATCTGTGTCAGCTCCTCCTCCTGACACTGCAGCACCCGGTACACATGCTTCACCGGGACCTGAGAGGAAGGTCGAATGCATGAGACAAACGGTAAGGAAAGGGGAAATAAGACTTCACAAGAATGTTACATTCAGAGAGAAACCCAAACTTGACAGAAATTCACATACCTGTGATGTTTTGCAGTCACGTTCCCTGATCTTGTCCTTGATGAGCTTTATTAATGATATGATGTTGTAGAATTCGGCTTCTTCTAACACACCTTAAACAGTGAAAAGACTTCAGCTTTTCAGGCAGTCATTACAGTCCAACTGTTGTCGTCTATATTTACTTACCAATTTATATGTAATGCACTTGTGGTCTGTGGATGGATATGTAAGCAGCTCAGATGGAAATGTATATACCGCAAATTCTTGATATCACATTTAATCAACAACAATGAAGTGAAATACTGACAAAAACTGTTCACAATGCATTACATGTGTTATAGAAATCTATTTTGATTAGGAAAACACTTCTTAATGTTCATATCCGATTCCACAGACACATTACCTTCCTCTGCCAAGTCCCTGTTAAGCACCAGTTTGCCATGCCTCAAGTAGTTCAGCACTGGCCCAAAGTATGTGGGGTCTCTGTCTATGAGATAGGCACCTGTTTCATCCTGAAAGGCACAAAGGAAGAGGATGGGATTAGCAGAACAGCACTATATTTAGTCAGTTTTTAATTTGAAGAAACACTCCAAGATTTAGGAAATATGCTTGTTTCTGGTCACAACCAACAGGTTGAATAGTGGCATTATTGTATTTCTAGTAAAGATAATTTGTAAAAAAAAAAAAAAAAAAAGACAATCAATGAGCAGGTGTGTAATTTAATCGAAATAACACTGTGCATTAGTGAATATAACTCGAGGGATGAGAAATACAAGATCAGCTCCTGCGTTGATCATCTCTACAGGGGCTCAGAAGACATGTGCACACAGGAACAAACGCATTCAACAGCTTTGGGATATCACTTCACTATTCCCACAGGCCTTGGGTTTGAGCCCGATTCCTTCACAACCACTGGGTATTCCCCTATTTCTGTAGGTACTGTGATTAGACCGCCTTTGTCTCATGGGGAAACTAGAGGCTAAAACAATTAGAGCAGAACAGAAAAAGATTAGGAACAGCAGGCTGAATACACCAAGAGGACGAGGAGAAAGCACCGACAATTAACCTCGTGTGGTCTGCTACATAGTTGGCCCCTCATATAATATGAAAATCAGTCTGAAAAGTTGTCCCAACTACTGCAGCCAACATCGGTTTATTACTAAAAGTTGTTTAACACAATGTGACATTTAGTGAGTCAAATGTGCATGACATTCAGTACAATGCTCATCACAGAGGACAGGGCTTAACCAAATTTTGTGCTAATCCTCAAATCCTACAGGATGTTTGACTTTGCATCAGTCAAGTATAAGGCTTCAGGACAAAACCTGGCAAAATAGCAGCACTGCTGTTTAGTGCAGCACACACCTTAGGCCATGAGCAAACTCATACTGACAAGTCTTCACTAACAAACATGTATATTCGTAGTTAGCTCCTCTTCATGCGTGCAGAGATCCCACTCAAAACCCATTAGTCTTTCCAATAATGAGAAAAGGTCCCAGTGCATTCTCTTTTGTAATGAATCTCTGAACCCTCCTGGCTGCTGACCTCCTTTCCAGGGCAAAAATATCCCTGCCGGAGCCTGGTGGAGCTCTATTCTGGTCTTGCTGCCCTGTGTCACTTCCTTACACTCCCATAGCCCCTGAAGTTTAAGCACAAGTACAGGTGGGCCTGCATGGAGGAAACAGACAAGGCCAAAGCTGAACAAGTCACCATATTCAAACCACACTGTACATCATGGTTGATTATGAGATAAGGTTAAACTATACTCTTACTTGAAAGCAAAACAGGCTTCTTCATGTCACTGAACTGACTGACATGTTTGCCTGATGAGCATTATCTTTTCTTTTCTGCCAAAACAAAAAAAATCTGTCCAACTTCTACTTTGGTGTCACACATTGTTTTGCTGTCTGTATCATGAAATGGAATCTTGATAGCTTTATCAGCACTGGAGCACTACTGCTGTCAGCACTTCCAAGTAAACCAGATCCATAGACACTGTTCACAGCGGCCACACCGACATGTCATAGCAGGAATAGTGGAAGTAATAACATTAAAGACAGCTGGATTATTGGATACACCTGTGTTTGACAAGTCCAAATGTTAGCTTTTAAAAAAGGTCTATTCGACTTTAGTTTCACTGCACAATTTTGCCTGGAGTCATGTGCACCCCCCACTACAATAGCTCTGCATACTCACTATTTAGGAACCTCTGCTATAATAAGACCTTGATGGGAACCAGACTGAAATTATCTTTATTTAAAATTGAAAACATGAAATCATTTAAAAATATGTTTCTAGATTTGATATGCTACCGACATAACATTTGCTAACATTTTATTAAATATTTCATGTATTTTTATTCACAGTATTGCAAAAAACAAAAAAAAAACAAAACCTAAGACTTACATTTATACAACTTTAATAATTTATGGATTACTGCAACAGGAAGTTTTTTTTTTCCAAAGCCTGGATCTATCGGACTAACTGAAATAATTTTATGTATAATTAATTGAAATAAGTTTGAAAAGCACTACAATGCCTTTTCTCGGGAGACATGGTTTACATTTTATAGTCCTAAAAGCACAGTAGTAAACATTTAATTACAGCTCAATTCCACCTGGTGCTTTGGTTTCAGGGTTCCTAGTATTGCACATGCTGGTTCACTGTCACACCAGGACACCGGAATAACAGCGTCATTGTTAACATTATTAGTAGCACCTGTGCTCATCTTACCATGATACAATAAGTCCAAATGTCTGCTGTGGAAAAAGGCCATTTGTGCTCCACAAACAAACTATTGTTTAATGCCTCAAAGAAAGTTGCACTAATCAAATATGCAAAGGTACTGCAAAGGTACTGCATATGTACTCTACGCTATGTAGGCTTCCTCAAACTTTTGGCTTCCTGACAAGCCATTTTGCTGGCCCTCTGGGCATCCATGTATCTGTGGTCAATGGGGTGACAGTGACCCACTTTAGATGATTATGGAGGCTCTGATGTGGACCTACATGCACAAAGGGGACAGTGTTTTTAATTAAAAACAAACGGCTGTATCTCTGGGGGCCCACACAGGGAAGCACTGGGCAACAAACAGCTACTGCTGGGATATACTGGAGACAGATAGGAAAAGAGACCAAATGGAAGAATTAGGAAGAAATGTATTGAATTAGAAAGCCTGAAGTGCAGCCTTACAAAGTTCACCATCTCTCTGTAATTCGATGATCACGGTGATGAAGAAAAGAGCTTAACTTTGAATATCCATCCATCCATCCATTTTCCTCCGCTTATCCAGGACCGGGTCGCGGGGGCAGCAGTCTAAGCAAAGATGCCCAGACT